ACGTTAATTATATAACATAGTTATAAGACTATATAGCGAGGTTAGCTAACCTAACCTTAAAGCAACCCCTTACTTTTAGATAACAACAAACTACTAACTTTAACACCGTATACGTACCACTATAAGTGATATTCGTATACATTGATAAAGAGAGTTATACCAACACTTATACTCTAGCGAAATTTATTATATACCTCCTTTCGCTTATTAAGAGAATGCCTAGTTAACTAGTAATTTGGTTTCTTATAAATATAGTACTTCTTTTAGTAATTACTTTAAAATAAACCTTTATAAGGGCCTCCACCTTTACCTTATAGTTGTTAATTATACCCTTTACTATATTACCTACCCCGGCCACTATATATTTAATTAGTTTAGTTATAATTATATTAGTTAGGCGGGTTAATTAAAGTAGGTTAGAGTTAGGTATTAAATTGCTATACTTCTTAAGAGTATAGAGTGGTGCTAATAAAAGATCTTAATTAAGTATATATTTTTTTATAAGTATTTATAGGATTAAAGAGAGCAAGGTTATATTCTTTAATACCTTAATATATACTAATAACTTAATTATAAAGGCTAAAGTCCTCTTAATATAATTTGGATAATCCATGCTAAGTCATCTAAAGTTAATTAAAGAGCTTTTAAAGATAATTAAGCTAAGGGATACCTGGGTTTATAGTAATAATCCTTAGAAAGGTAGTCTCTCTCTATTCTAATATATACTACTACTTATTCTCTTCTATTTTAAAGTGGCATTTTAACTTATATATTATACGGTTAAAATTATATCCTTTTTCTACTAAATAATTATAATAAAAGGTACTAGCTTAGCCCTTAAGTATAACGGAATAGGCGTTATAGTATTAATTAGACTCTATTCCTACCTTCTAGCAATAGTTATAAAAGATATATAGTTTTAAATTAAGAATATTATATAATTTCCCGCTAAACTTCTTCTCCTAATTTAAATAGAGCTTTATAAGCTTTATAAGCAATTTTAAACTGCCTCTAATTTAAGATTAAGATAGAGGAGGTAGGGGTTATATTATAGGCTGTAGTGGGGATATAGGTCTGGTTGGTAAAGTCCAAAGGTTATTAAATTGTAAAGCAATAGGATCCTATGCCTGCTCTTATTAGGGTATAGTATTTAACGTTAAGGTTACGGGTTAAATTAGATATAGAGAAGTTAAAGGTAAAAGTAGGTTTATCTTTAGAGATATATTACTTAGGTTCTATTATAAGTTAAGCTTCCTTATAGTGCGTAGTTAGTGCTTAATCTCTTATAGAGTCTATTTATACTCTTTTTTTACGTTAATAACCTGCTCCTAAATATTGTCTCTAATAGTACCCCTATCCTTAGGGATAAATACTCTATTCTCCTAAAGGAAGTTATGGAAGTCCTATATAATATCCTTATTTATAAGGGCCTATATTTCCTTTATCTATCTAATAAAGTCCTCCTTTATACATTCCTATAGCGCGATATTATTATATTTACTGTCCTTATAAAAAAGCTTCACCACACATGCAACCTTACCAAAAGGTGGCGCCGCACTTCAAAACTTACGCATACCCATCTTACCATCAAAAACAATCGATTTCCTAACTTTCAAGACCTAATTCTCACTGCCTAGCGAGCTAGAGGTGGATTTATTTGTCATTTTACCCCCTTTCCCCTAGCAGAAAATTCTTCTTAGGGGTGGTCCTAGCTTATAAGCGAGGCACGGACAGGAACACCAAAACTACGACTACTACTACGAATACTAATAGGGGCTAGTCTTTCTACTACCTTTTAGCCTAATCTCCCCAGAAATCTTCTAGTAGGATTAGTAAGGAGAAAGGGTATAAAGATAGTAAAAACTAGAAGCCCCCCTATAAGATATAAAATGCCAAGGCCTAATAGGTCTAAAAAAAAACCTCCTATAGAAATAAGTGATGAAGATTCTACATCTACTTTTTCTCCCCCTTCTCCTTCTCCTGGCCCGTTTAGGACAGGAGAAAAAAGAGGACATCCTCAGTCTTCTCCTGAAAAAGAAAACCAAAAACCTGCAAAAAAGACAATAAAACCAACGACTACTATAGATAGTATGCATAATATACCTCTCTCTTCCCTTTCTCCGGAGGAACATCTATGCGAGGCTTTAAGAAGCCTAATCCAGGCCTATAGAGGGCTAGAAGGAGAAGAGCAAGAAGAACAAGTTGGACAGCTAGTAGACTATACACAAAATATCCTAATAGGAAAAAACCCCTTTGCAAAAGAAGAAGAAGAAGAAGAGGCAAAAGAGGTCCTAGAAGGACTAGTAGAAGAAGTAAGAGCTCTCCGTAAGGAGGTAGCTTCTACCAAAAATACTTACGCAGAGAGACTGAAGAAGGACCTCCCTTCTTCTTCATCCTCCCTACCCTCCTCATTATCACCACCACTACCTTCTACCCCTTCTCCTTCTAGTAGGGGTTCTACTTCTACTAGAAGTAAGAAAAAGCAGCTATAAGAAAGGAAGCTAGTCCTAATTATANACGAAAAGGACTAACCTCTAGATACCTTCTCTATACGAAATAAAGTNAATTAACTATTTGTATCAAAACTGCAAGTAAAAAAGCCAGTTCTAGCGTCTATAGCTAGAACTAAAGGAAAACAAAATATTCTCCTTACGACTATAGAAGAGTATAATGTAGATTTCCTAGTCAAATATAAGGAGATCTGGCAAAACTGCTTTACCTTTNAAAGAGAACAAAAACTAGAACCATAGGTTTAAATTATAGCCCATGGGGTTCCTACCCTACCGTTCTTAGGAGAAGGAGGCTCTAAGCTTCTAAAAGAGGAAATTGAGACTTTTAATCCTATAAGGATACAAGGACTACCTAGATGGATCTTATCTAGTGTAAAAAGACACGATCCATAGACCAGATTTGGCTCTATAGTTTTTACTATANAGAACGAAGAAAAAAGACAAGAAATCCTCAAGCAAAAAGAGATATNAATTGCAGGTANAGCTACTAAGGTAGTAAAATACCTCGAAGTCTCTCCTACTACGCAGTGTAATAGCTGCCAAAAATTTGGCCATATAGGAGACAGATGCTCTACTAGGGCCTGTAGATATTGTGCGGCTGCACATCTATCTAAAGACCACTGCTGTCCTACTTGCTTAATAAGCGGCAGGCCTTGCAAGCATACCACCCCTCTTTGCATTAATTGTAAAGAAAAACACTTTGCTAATAGTAGAGACTGCGAGAATCTTAGAGCAGCTAAATTAGTACATAGTACTAGCGTAGAAGACTCTATGGAAGAATAAAATTAATAGGAGTCTAGAAGGAGGTAGCTCCTACTAGGCTCTTAGGTTAAAAGACAGTAGAGAGCAAAAGGACAGAAATAAATTGCAAAAGGATAGGGATAGGGGTTAGGATTTCTTACAGTTTTTCTTACCATTTTCTCATTCCCTAGTAGTTGTAGTATCTTAGCATTTTTACTAGGAAACTATAAACTCCTAATTTAGGGGTTTATAAACTACTAGGACATAGCTACTAGTACATATTAAGCTGCCTAAGAAAAGGATTTATGTATATAGAACTATAGCGCTATAGCCAAAAGGCTGCATGCGCAGTATTGTACGTAGTATAATATAACGGATAAAAAAATAAAATAAAATAAAAAACTGTCCTTATAATATGCCATACGGTATAATAAAAATTCATTTAAGTCTTATTTATTAGCGTTTATAAGGTTAATTATAGCTTTATTTTATATTTTTAGGTAGGTTAATGCTATAGTAGGTATAGAATTAATAGGGTGTCGTACGTTAAAGGTAGGTAGGATTTTCGGTTTTATAGGATCTTATAAGTTTGCTATTAAAAGGTAGGCAATTTAAGATGTTATTAGACGCGTTTTAGATATTAACTTAGGACCTTAGGTTTAGTAATACTTCTAACCTAAAGTACTTAACTAAATCTTTATAAACGCGGTTGTTCTGTATAATAGACGCAACTTAGTATCTCCTAGTACTTAGTAATACTTCTATTACTAGTTTTCCGCAAGTCTAAGGTAGTATAGTATTGCCGGGATCTATTCCATATAAGCGTATATAGTACCCCTATATAAGACTATCTCTTCTATTCAAAAACCTAGCTGCTCTATAGTTAACTATATATTTAACTACTGATTAGTATTAGTTATATAGGGTAACTTACTAATAACGACTACTTGAGTAGGGTTATAGTGATGTTAGTTAATAAAGCTTATTAATTAGAATAAGGAAGGGCGAGGAACGTAAGGCTCCTCGCCACGCTAGTGCCGCGGCGACACGTGATGGCAACTTGCCATCATGTGACGGCAGTTTGCCGTATGTGACGGCAACTTGCCTCATTCCCGACAGTCAAAAAGTAGAAAAAAAAATGAAATTCCCTATATAAAATAAAAAATTTTAACTTTATAACATTATAATAAACTTTTATACTTTTAAAATAATATTCTAAATATACTAAGTTACAATAAATATAAATATTTATGCGATATTAAATTTTTTTAAAAAAAAATTAATATCTAGTATTAAATATTATAGATCTTATTAGGGAACTAATAGGATTTCTAAAAGAGTTATAGGTTTTAAACCGAAAAAAAAGCTGTAATAGCTAGATTTAATATATAATATAAACTTCAGCTATTTTTTAAAGCTTTAAAATTAATTATATAGTTGTTATATATAATTTAATAGGGTGGGTTGTCTTGAAAATTCGCTTAGCACGGACACTTATGACACCTAACTGTACGATATCGATAAGAGCCTACCAATCAAACCGGTCGAATCAAGCCTCCGTTCTCAGAAATACGAAGCCTTTGACTTCGTTGAGAACAATGTTCCGCACAGACCACTCACGCTAAGGACCTTGACGGGTTAAGGGATAAAACGGCCAAAAAAATTAACAGTGCCCTCGCTCCCCTCAGAAGGACATATGGCATACCCTAAACGGCTTCAAAGTGTGCAAAGAAGCAAAAAAAAGAATCTAGGTCGTGCCCGGATTCGAACCGGGGTTGCCGGAATGTCCGAATATCAGAATCCGGAGTGATGACCGCTACACTACACAACCAATATGTTACTCGAGAGTTTAAAACCCCACATTAGTCGTGCGTGAAAATATTTAAAATTATATCAATTTTTAAAATTAGCTCATCTTGGTATAAAAATTTTAGCGAAGAAAACCCACTACAACCCTCATTGCAATGCAGTCTTGAAAGTTAAGAGCCTCGGTTCTCGCAATACGCAGCTATGACTTTCAAGGTGCGTGTTCCAAAGGGGGCTATCAGTTTTATTATTTTGTAGGCACCTAGGTTTCCTATTTTCATCGCTGAGACTGGTTTCTTCTATTTGAAGTCTTGCGAACTTCCCAAATATTACAATTTAGTGTTACTATGATCAGTTATGAATTCGAATTTATTTTTCAAAAAGTTGATAGGTGGAATATAACGTTATAGGTCTAGTACACCTCGTAGAGTCTTTACCAGGTCACTTAATATCCCCTTAGTCCAGCTTAGTATAATTTCGCTATCAGGTTTATCTAAGCTTAAACTCACTAGACTGCATTTTTATGTTACCTCTGCTCCAATTATTTGTTATTTACGTTCTCAAAACTTTTATCGTAAGGTTAGAATTATTATCGTCATGTTGTTTCCTATGAGCGGGGCTGTAGCAGTAGGGCAGATTAAATTAAAGATAGGATAGTAGCTCGCTGTGAGATCTAAGTTGATGCAAGTTCGTTGACCGTTCCACAATTTTTGGTGTTGGTGGCTGGTTTAGAATCACTAGCTCCCGCCACTAGGCTTTTCCCGCCGCCAAAGTTGCCCTGACAGCGGAATGTTTGGACATCCCACCACCTTATCGCAGGTTTCCGCTACTCCGCTGACGACATTGCTCCACTATTGTCTCAAAGCTTCTACACCATCTTGTCAACTCCGATTGAAAGCGCGTGTCGATCTTGGTGATCAAACGGCAGAATCTATGCCTTTTGAAGTAATAAGCACGGCCATTTAAACGTATTTTTACCCACATTTGGGTACAAATGTACGCATTTTGGTTAGCGTGATCAACACACGCTTTCAACCGGATGCGCCAGGATGGTGTATTAATGCTCTAGCAACATGGAAGAGGCTAGTCGATACGGTTGCTAGGGCTGGAGCAGTGCGACAGATACAAATCCTAAATAATGCCATATTTTAGAAATGACTCACTACCAGTCTCTCAAATCAATACTCTCTGCCTCTATTGTACATACCTGGATTGTCTATACAACTTCCACCTCCAAGCCAAGAGACTTGTCTTGTTCTTTCCGCCCTCTATTACCTGTCACATTTACACCTCTCGCTTCAACATCATGCAACTCAAGCTCCTCATCATCACTGTTTTCACCTCCACTGCTGCGGCAAACTATAATGCCACAGGCACCGGTGGTTATATTCCAACTAGCACAAGCGGTCTCTCACCAATTATGACCTCTTTTCAAGGTGCTGCAGCACCCTCGACCCAACTCCCAGGCTCGGCGCTAGCATTTGTCGTTGCAGCTGGGGTTGCACTCGTAAGTTATTTTCCTCTCGCGACTATTCCTTGTTCTGGTGAAATTCGTCCAACGGTTATCGATAAGATCCAGTCAATAGAATCAATAGGCTTCGTGATCGAATATATGTGGTTGTAGAAGCTGTGGATTTCAATATCCCTTGCAACGCTGCTTCGCGTCCAACGGTTATCGATAAGGATTAGCCAATCAAATCGTTAGGGTCAATGAGCCGTGATCAGATATTTGAGGCTTTTGATATCTACATAAAACGCTATAAGAGCTTAATTTTTGGTGGAGAGTCGTGCGATATGTGAGCCCCAGTACTTGTCCTTCCTGCACAATAGAATTCTACAGACGCTACAGCCAAATAAGGTTCTTCCACAACGCTGAGGGCGTTTCTAATCCTTACTATCACGACTCTGTCTTGTGGTGTTGGTTGATAAATTTGCCAAAGCCTTTCTACTGCCTAGATGATGTGTAGTAGACTTCCTTCCAGCGTCTATGCAGGCAGAGCAGTTCTGTGGCTTTGTAGCCTGAAGCTTAATAAGCTTGTGTTGTACCACTGGCTCCTATATAATATCATCTATACCCTTTCTTTTGGCGACTTTGTGTTTGGGGTGTTTTTGAATGTGAATGGAGTTCTTAAAAAGCGTGTTCCGAAGGTCCTTTCTGAATTGCTTATGTGACTTCTTACGCTTATGGTAGTGCTTTACAGGCTTATAAGATGATAGCTGATAGCAATTACTAATAATTGTATTAAGTAAGAAGTGGAATAAAGGCTTCCAAGTCTTTCTATGTATCCTTTGTGTGTTATAATAGCTCCATAGCTGGTTTGCCACATCCACCCCACATATATAGCAATTATACTCGTCTATAAAGTTAGGGATTGGGAGTTCTTTGGTAACATTGTTGCCGAATACCTTGCGGGTTTGGGTAGCTCCTAAGGCTGTTTTTGTAGGTTGTTGTTGTTAAGTTACAATATAGGATTGACCTGGCGATATATAACGTTAGCGCGTTCTTGGCATGGTGTTAAGGCTCTTAACACTATAGAAAAACCTATAGAGCTTACCATCGTATACAGTAGATATAAAAAGGACTATATTGGCGTCCTTCTAAGCAAACTCTATTACCTAGTGGTCTTTTAATGTAGATCTATAGAGCTCACCCTATAGAATCTGTGCTGAATGCACTAGCTTAAGCTTTAAGAGTTGCCTATTAATTTGCTCTGGCCGCTTCTTCCTTTTTTATCCTTTTAAATCCTTTATAATATCCACGGAATCCTCCCCTTATTCCTCCCTCTATGTTTTAGTTGTTCTAACTATTCTAGCGGCGCCAATTTTAAGCTCTCAAAGGCGACGAAGAAGCTTAACGCTTATAAATAGGTTATTAAGCTATATAACGTGCTTTCCTGAAGGATATAATCGCTGCTAAGTAACCTCGTGCCGTTGTGTAAGGAAATTGAGGACTACTGCTTATATCTTACTAAAGCCTTCTACTTTGGTGTAGTGACTATTAAGGTCAATAGGGCCCTTATTACCTTTAGCGTACTAAATCCAATCCAATATATAGCCCTCATTCGCCAGAATCCATATCTTAAAGCCTTCTAGTGTTGGTTTAGATGGAATATTAACTATTTCGGACACCCATCCTATAAATCTTTAAATAGTCTCGTTAACAGCGAGGTGGGCTCCAGGCTCATAAAGCTTCCGGCACGTCAGTTATAGATACTTAGAGAGTTAATCAACACAATTAAATGTAGATTGGAAGGCGTTCCCGTCGTTAGGGGGGGTTTCTATAGCTCTAAAGTAACGATTAAGCTGCTGGAAGCGGTTCTTTAATATATAGTTTTTAACTATATGCGAACAGCTATCTAAGTCTAAACTGCCCCAGTAGTCCTTAATGGCTAATTCACTAGTAATTCCTATATAAATAAGCACTCTAAAGTACGCGTACAGTTCCTCTCTAGATGTTAGTTGCCATGGACGAGCCCTACCCATTAGGGCGTCCTCATCAAGAGGCGCATAAGCCTCTGCGTAATCATTTAACCACTCCACCAGCTTATCCATCATCTCATCTGTAAAGAAGAGCTTAAAAAGCTCTAGGGGAGCACTCGTGTCGACATTGTTTGGAAGATTTGGCTCGCCATGCGCGTTATAATCGTCTATAACATAGGGTTCGAATTTGGGCAGCTCCCAAGGCTCTGGGGGTGGTTCTTTCGCAATACGGGTGGGAGGGACGATGTATTTAGTAGGCTTAACGACATCAGGGTCAAGGTAGGCACGATCAGAAGGCATGGTGGTTAATTATATTACCATACAATTGTATGGACGCGTCTGCGAATATTTGAAAACGGTGTTCGCGCACGGACCAACTCTCGTTGGACGCCAGCGTTGCAAGGGATACAATTGCTATATACACTCAATCTTTGGAGTTGAGTCGCTCAATATGAATATTGAGTCGGTGGAATATAGTCTATATCATTGGAAGTGCGATTGGAAGGCATAGTTGATTGATGTATATTAATTGAATCTATGCAGGTCATAAAGGATACCAAATTCAAAAAGTACTAACTGGTCTTCTCAGATGCTATGATGTACGCATTTTTCGTTTCAATTCCGGCTTTGTTGCACTCTAGGGAACGACAGCGCATCTGAGATGAGAGTATTTTAGAGATTATGATTTAATTTGCACTGGAAAATTTAGCGATAGCATTTTGAAAGGGCTGCATACTTTTGGCGCAAAACGAAGTATCCATATAGGAATTGAACACGAGATCATGGTAATTGGCATGTATATAGAATAGATTATAAGCCAAGACAGATTATTCAAAATGAAGGAAATATAAAATGAGGTGGCATCCAAGGACATTACTTTTCAAGCTCGAAGTGCGCTCAATGATCATATTTAGTGAGGATCTGTCGCGAGATTAAATTGGGTGGAGTAGGAATGAGCCCCGCGAAGTCGCGTAAAGAGGGTTCGCGTCGTCGTCAGAACATTTCTATCTCACAGCATGCGACGTCGTAATGTATCCCCCAACAACGACCATGGCCATTGAAGATGGAAATCTGCTGTGTGGGCTATCGTAAGTATTTCCCCACCTATTTCATGGGTTTGCAACAGCTGACACAGATAGTACTAAGAAGTTTTCCACTCCGGCACGAACTGATTCCTCCTACAACCCTCTTCACACCTTCGACCTCCCAAAAGGTACCGAGAAACATTACCAGCAACAATATGCGGATATGTATTTCCTGCGACTTGCTATGCTCAAACCTGTCGTAGAACAAAAAGCTGAAGAGGCCTGGAGAGACTTTGAGGTGATTCTTTGGCATGATTCTCAGAACAAATTGGAGGGCCTTTTACTGATACTCCGCATGAAAGATTGCAGGGGAAAGAGCAAGACGCGTGGATAGGGTGCTTGATGTCCGGCAAGGCGAGCTATGCTGGGTCGTGGGGACGGTGTTTATGGAGATGGCACTGAAGCCGAACATCCTCGATGACATCTCCAAAGAGGTATGCTGCTTTTTTCTGAGTGTAAC